CCTCTGGCCAGTTTGGGTCAGCTGTCCTGGCTGTGCCCCCTCCCAGCTTCTTGGGCACCTCCAGCCTTCTCAGTCGGTAGAGCATGGGAAGCTGAAAAGTCCTTGACTAGTGTAAGCACTGCTCAGCAACAACTAAAACATCGGTGTGTTATCAACATTGTTCTCATCCTAAATCCAAAACACAGCACTGTACCAGCTGCTAGGAAGGAAATTAACTCTATCCCTGCCGAAACCAGGACAGAAACATTGCCAGATATGCTGATTAGTAATTGCCAGCTGATGCCGATACCATTCAGGCTATGTGTGTGTGTCCTGGCACCAGTGGGGTGTTTGAGTGTGTTACGGTTGTGCATCTGGTTGGAGAAAGTACGGGCTTACAGCGAGCTACTCCAAAGGGCAGAAAACCATCCAGGCATGGAGGTGACAGTCATATCAATACTGGTGCAGTGCTGAGCTGAGTGCTGTGTTTTGTTGAGAAGGTGAGTACTAAACCCACGTATCTCGTTTCAACAAAGCCCATCCGAAGCCATTCGCTACCGTCGGACCATCCTTCCCTGTGCCTTTTCCAGCTGCGTTGCCAACGTCTTTTGGGAGGTGGGAGCCAAGCCGACATGCCTTGTGGATTTGCAGAAGGGCTTGACACGTGTGGTTTTCTTCTCACCGGTTCCGGCAGTGCCGATTGCTGAGATGATGTTTTCGGTGCTACCCACAATAACTGAAAGATCTTTCCTGAGAGATAAGAGTCAGTAATTGTGGTTGGCTCATTCCTCTGGTATGCGTTCCCGTATTAACTTGAAATTTAATTTGTCGTCAGAGTGCTGCTGCTGCGTGGCTCCGTCCCCTCCAGCCGTACCCTCCAGCGTGGAATCACCGGCTACTGTGGCAGTCGGACCCTGCACCCTCTCTCAGGAGCTGGTCTGAAGGATTGCTCTTCAGAAAAGTGCAGTGGTGCCGTAGCTTGATCTTCTCACTGAGTAGACGCAGTTGTGAGCAAACTGCAGAAGTGAAGAGGAGGTGACAGGTCGGGACCCGTCCCAGTCCTGCAGTTCGCCCTGGTGGCTTTTGCATTGGATGGTGACCAAGCTCCCACTTTAAAGGTTTGCTCTTCTAGTTTCGGTCGAAGCCGCTGACAGCTGTAGTCCTTCTCAAACCTCTAAAGATTGCTGTCCAATTCTGGCATTTGTTGATGTGCAGGCTGACCCTTGGAGGGCTTTTTGGAAACACAGAGGTCGCCCTGCGACCAGAAATGACAAACTCCTGATGCTCCTAAATCCCACAGGCACTTCTCCCCACTTCTTTCCCATGAAGTTTCAAACTTCTCCACTGAATGTGGCATCACCGGTGTGAGCTGACCTCCTGGCCTGCTGCATGCTAAAAACGCCCTGGGATTTCTTTGAGCTGTTTCACAAATTGTCGGTACTAAGCACACACCTCCAGCATTCACTGTTGAAGCTGACTGCGGGCTGGGGCCGTGAAGGAGACAACTGCTTACAAAAACCACACTGGGCAGCGTGTCGGGACCTGCAACCCGTACCTGGAGCTGCTGGGTATAAATAAACACATCCACCCTCCGTCTTATTTCTGACAACTACCTCCCTGAACAGTAATTTATTTTTTTTTCGGTAGCTTGTTCTGCAAGCAGGTTTCCTCTTGCAGGTGTTTCGGAAGACCTCATTTTAATGTTAATTCAGCGTAACTATCAGTGCACAGGCATTGACTGCTCTTGCATCCTTCTGAGACGTGTGATTTTTATTGAAATTCGGTCTTGAAAAACTGATACCAGCAACTGATGTACCTGTCACCTGAGTCAGACAGGAAACTGCACCAA